TCACCCTGACCAATTGCCGACCTAACCAACATAACATCATTAAGTGGACCCGCCCCCCAACTAGCTGATGAATGTAGAAAAAGTCGAAATATTTGCCTGTGTTCTTGAGGAAATCTTATAGAAATATTGGCGTACAATAATTGTGCAGAAATGGAAGAGTTCATGAATAAATGTAGCACACTTCAACTAAATATTGTAAAAAAAACTAGACAAATTCCAGTTGCATATAGACTTCTGTGAGAGGATACATGTTAGATCACCATTCAATAGCAGCATATTTCAAACAATAAAAAGATACACATCTGACATGCCAATTAGCTAAATACTAATGTAGATATATAGAAACAAGCCTTGAGATGTTAATAATAAAGTACATGTCTACCGCAAGGTAAAAATATTAGAAATTTAAAAATAAACTGAACTAATTTCAACAAAATTAGAATATGTAAAAAAGAAATATGCAAAACAAATGAATCCATATTGAATCAATATGGATACACTGCTAAAGTTTTTGATTGATTTTTGTATGTACATTTTTAATAGAAATTTTCAAAAGTTAATGTATTCTTAAAATTGTGTGGTTCAATGACATCTACAGAAAAAGTTTTAAATATGAAAATGTTACCATTAATTGTGACAATAAATGACAGTTCATTGTAAAATTCAATAGTTCTATCAAAGTTATAAAATTTACAAACATACTATAAAAAATATAGTTGATTTTCAATACAATATCAAATTATTAATAACCTGACAAGCAAATATTTGAAGATTAATTATATTTCAATTTCTCATAAATTTATTATTTTAGTTTAATATTGTATCATATTCGCCAAGTGAATTTCGTGAAAACAAATATACTATGTATATGTAGTTGATTTTAAGTTTAATATTGTTTTTTTAATATTGTATACCCGATCCCATAAGTTTTAAATGTGTAATTAACTAAAAAAAATATTTGATGGAAAGTTGCTGACTCACCTCCAAGTTTACATTTGAAAATGGAGTACCAAGTGTCATCTGCTGCTGCTTAATTGTGGAATGAACTTTTGGAGAAGTGGTATGACCTTACATAAAGCTGTAGTGGCGATCTGCGTTGTACTAGTTAAGCAGATCAAACATGCAGCATACTTCAAAAGAATGTTCTTATTATTTAGCTTGATCCTTGACAGGTTGTATGTAAAGATGTTGTTGTGGATATTTGATGTTTGAAAATAAACAGCAAACTGTCCTTTGTCAAGATCCTTTCATGTAGTAGCTCCATCCATTTCCTGCCTGTGAGTATCCACTGGTGTTGTGGTTAGAATTGTATATTGATTGTTCTTGGTTACATGTTGAAAGCAGCTAACAGGTTTGGATATTTTAATGATTCCTCAGTGGTGCAAATGTTTCCACAAGTGAATCGGAAACATATTTTGGAACCAGTGGTGAACCCCTGAAAAGATTGACTAATATTATTTCTGAACATTAATTTAAAAAAAAAATCACAAATAGAGAACATAATATGTATCTACTGTTGAATGATTTAATTGTAAAAAAATATATTATTCAACACAAAACATTTTGTCTTATTTTTAAATTTAATGGTAATGAAAAGCAAGTGCATCAAAGATAAATGAGTATTTTTAAAGATAACTCGCCATATTCTTTGAAACATTTTGCAGACTAATTAAGATTACCTACTTAATTAATCAATACAATCAACTATGTTTTGTCTTTGTGAAGTCACAAAATTATAAAACATTTAAATGTGTAATATAAATATAAAACATAATAAATTTCTTGTACTCATTATGATCACATACTGGCAGCTTGAAGAAGTGATTTTGATGTTTTTTTTTAATTTCTTATTTCTGTATATGCATATATTATTATTTTCTGAGTGGAAAGACCTATCCTTTTGAAATAGTTTATTAATTTTTAAATATGATTATATACATCTTTTATTAGTATATTTAAGACTAGTTCAATAATTTGTCGTGTCCCAGGGATGGAATTCTGGACACAGTGGAATATNCTATGCTCATCATATAAACGTTTTACTGAGACTATGTCAGTCTTTGAGGGTTTTACTGACACTAATTCTAAATAGTTATTCTACTTACAAAGTTAATTCTTATTAATACGGAGTGGGAGTTGTGATCGGAAGTAGGGTTTGATTATATTGATGACTAAGCGCTCCCACGGGAATCGGCCTCGGTGGTATTGTTTATTATAAGACCGGGACAAATTCCCATGCATTTGTTTATATGAATAAGATGATCGATTACGATTGTACATGTAACGATCTTTATGTATATAATAATGCGACTAAGAGACGCTTTGGATGTCTCTAGTTCGTTAATACACTATACTAATAATAACAATTACAATAATAATAGTTGGACACAACAAAATAATTATTAATACATATACTGTATTGTAGATACATTGTATTGTAGTATAGACTAGAACTAACTAAAATAACAAAAGTGTCGTCCGATATGTAACAAGACGTACCGAATGCAAAAAGGCGCGAATACGTTCAAGGCGCTGCTGTCGGTGAGGATTTATTACAGATTTATGCAGATGTTTGCAAATGCCGTTAGGCTTGTTTGATGTACAGTACACATAGTACTTATTAGCATATATATCAATAATTAATAATAAAGTGGCTGGACACAACAAGTTAACAAAACTGAATTATCTGAGCGGCTGCCATTAGGTTTAACCCAACATTACGAAGCAAAAAAAATCGCTAACGAGTTTCGAACATTAGCATCAACAAATTTAATGGAAATAACTTAATTATAAAATTCTACTAATTTTCTTTACGATTTCAAATTTGTGTTTGAGGTTAATTAAAATATGCCGGTAACGTAAAACACGTTGTAAAATGTATCAATATTCCAAGACAAAAAGTTTACACATACCTTAAGGCTTCTACTTTTGGACGAACTTCCATCTCGACGGTTTGGTGGTTCGGTCTTAAATGACCATTTTCATTGTAAAACCAACGGTCTCAGCTTTTTTGAACTGATCTTAAGTCTCAACGGTTTTAACAGAAAATTTGTTAACAAGAGGGGAATCCCCCCTCAAAAATGGTACCAACCAACACATTTATACCAATCTAGCACATGGAAAATAACTAAAGCAAGTTTAATAAACTGCGTTTGCACAAATCAATTATTAGCTATACCAAATGATGAGAACGTACTAATAAATAAAACTTATTATTGGTTTCGAAATAATTTATAGATATAAATGTTGTTTGTATTGCATACATTAAGTATATTCAACCCGTATCTGATCATCCGACCGCAACCAAGTTGACTACTATCACCAACTATCACAATAAAATAATGTTATAGGTTAATTTTATATTTGTAAATATTATTGTAGTTTTTTGTGTTTACGTTTATTACATATTTTTGCGCAATTTCAGTAAATTATGAACATGCAAGGATTCTCCTCAACAATCTCCACAGAGCCTGGTCTGAGCCGCAACAATGAGTTCTACTTTGGTCTTGTCCTGGCAATCTCATCAACAGCTTTTATTGGTTCCAGTTTTGTGATAAAGAAAATTGGATTGATTAGGCTAAACCGTAGGGGGGCTTTGAGGGCAGGTTCTGGTGGTTTTGGGTACCTGAGAGATTGGATTTGGTGGCTCGGCTTAATAACAAGTAAAGTATATGGAAATATGTATACTAATTAATAAATAAATTCAATTGTTTGCAGTGGGTGCTGGGGAATTAGCCAATTTTGCAGCATATGCTTTTTCACCTGCATCATTGGTTACACCATTGGGTGCACTAAGTGTTTTGGTGTCAGCTATTTTGGCTTCTAAATATTTAAATGAAAATCTTAATTTGCTGGGAAAGGTAACTTATATTCACTGGTAGTGGTAGCAGATTCTAATTGTTGATATTTTAGTTGGGATGTGTTCTGTGTATATTGGGTTCAACTGTGATTGTGATACATTCACCAAAAGAGGAGACTGTGGAGAGTTTGGATGTGCTAATGGAAAGATTGAGGACATCAGGATTTGTTGTTTACTGTGTTATCATTGTAAGCCTTTCGTTTGTGATTAGCTTTTACTTGGGACCAAAGTATGGTGATCAGAATGTTTTGATTTACATTGCACTGTGTTCAGGGATTGGGAGTTTGACTGTGGTTTCGTGCAAGGGTCTTGGTTTAGCCTTGAAACAGTTCTTCGCTGGAGTAGAAGATTCCAATGGTTGGTTGATGTACCTTTTCTTTATTACTGTAGTGATTTGTATTATCATTCAGATGAATTACTTGAACAAAGCGTTGGACTTGTTTGATGCTAGCGTAGTGACGCCAGTTTACTATGTTTTCTTTACTACTCTCGTTATCATTGCTTCAAGCATTGTTTTCAACGAGTGGAGCAGTTTAGAGGGCGAAGATATTTTGGGGAACTTGTGCGGATTTCTGATTGTCATAATCGCAATTTTTATGTTGAACGGTTTCAAAGACGGATTGCCGCCCAGACATAAGAGCGATGAGAACCTACGATCTGATCGGTATCAGGGCTATCAAAGTATACTGACGCGGAGCATTTAAAATCTCTTCACACTTCAATTGTATTACCGTACTTGTGCTTTGTCTTTTTTGATAATACTTAAGCGGTGAAGACTTTGATGAAGGTTGTTAAAAGTTGAACTAAATTAATTCATAGAAAGGAGCAAATAGAACTTGCGGTTTGATTTTTATCAATACTATCAGAGAGTACTAATACCTAAATCCCTCCAATTATATTAATTATATAAAATTAAGTTGTATAAATTATATAATATTATTTAAGTAAACTGACTAATATCTTTAATATACAAGATTTTAATCTACCAAATATTATAATAAATCAAAATTTTAAGTTTATTATCCGTGCTAATATCCATGTTATTATCTGAATATAATTATTGTTAATAATTTGAATATTCTTCAATATTAAGTGGATACAATTTGTAATGTACAAAGCAGAATGGAATTTTAGTAAAACGGGGATGATTTGCTAGATAAGTCTTGACGTATATTTAGTACTGGTGATTATTTATTTACAATTATTTTTAGAAGGTAGAATTTACATTTAAATATATTTAGACAGTACTAAACATTAAATTACACGTAAAAGTATCACCATAAAATGGAATTTGTTAAAAAACTTTTAATTTTGTATTATTTATAAGATAAATTGGAGGAGTACAAAATGCTCAAAATTTAGGTACAAAATTTATGAACATAGGTAATTTATCCTTCAGACACAAGCGTCATACTTAAGTATTAAAAAATACTTTGACATTAAACTCTTAACACGTACTACATACAATGAAGTAAGAATTGAAGCGCCTGATGCTTTAATTTTTTGTACACATAAAATATTAAGAAACTTGATGTTAATATGATATTTAATAGGATGTAAACAGAGAAATGAGGTAAACGAAAGTGAGGCCGATCTTGTTTGTGCTTGAAGCACAATCTAGTCCATTTATTAGTGATATATAAAAACGAATCTGAATTTGTTGAAACGCTGCCAAAATGATCCGTGTCGTCGCATTTTTCTCGGATCATCGGACTTGGCCGTAAATATTGCATTTGTTTTTCGTTCCCTGATTTAGTTAAGCGTTGAGTGCTTTACGACCAATCTGTGTTTGGCTCGAAAAACAAATAAAATAAATTATTGAAGACATATATACGATAATTAGATCTGAGCGTAGGTAAACGAGCCAAGATGATTAAATTAAAAAAGAAACAAATTAGTAATTTATTTTTTATTATATATTAATTATTTTTTTTAATTGAGACTTTATTTTAATTAGTTTCATGTCGGAGTAATAAACATTCAATACTGTTTTACATTAGTTCTAATTGGAAATAAATTATTGACGTATAAAGTCAATAATTATTTTTACTATGAATGTTTGCAGCTACAATAATAACGCCCATACAGTATAGTTCTTAACAATAAGTAAACTTGCTGTGACTATTTTATATTAAGTTGTTGTTTACTTTTTTTAAACCTGTGAAGTGATCTGCACGAAGGATGTCAATAAAGGAAGAGACTCGTATGAAAACAGAAACAAATTTATTGTACAAGTGATTCTAGTAATCGTAATCCTGTCGATCCTGTCCTTATCACGAGCCCTAAACCTATAAAAATGAATGTTTTTGAAATTACTCGATCGACCTTGATCAAGTACGTGCCTAGCTCTGTCCGGTTGTGATAATAATAATAATAACTACACATTATATCAATAATGAATACCTTGTGTAGGTCAAATATTCGAGGGAGAATCAATAAATTAAATGTTACAGCAGGAGTCTAGCGAATTCTGAAAATCCATTTTGTTAATTGAGAGTTGTTGGTGAGTTTAAAGGGAATGCGTACCTTCGTAGTTGATTTTACCATCTTTGTCGGTGTCTGCCATCGTGATGAAGTCGCTTAATTGCTGTTCAGTAACCTGTTCGCCGATGGTCTCCATGGCCGTTTTCAGTTCGTCCCGCGTTATGTAACCGTTCTGGTCCAGATCGAAGACGCGGAATGCCGCCATCAGGTCCTTCTGGTGGTCGTCCGTCGCCTCCTCCGGCCTCAGATCCTGAATCTTTCTCACCCACTGCAGGAACTCGGTCTCGTCCAACAGTTCGTTACCTATTGAATTACCGCAATCAATTTAAATGATTAATAATAGCATATTTACGGATACAACAAAAGTATGAAATAATTAATGTTTGAATCACATTGACTGGAGTTAATAATATTAATTTTGTATTATTTATAATAATTATTATGTCTGAGCTGCTTTAAGAAATGTTAACATAATATAAATGTAAATAATATAGTTTTGAAAAACAGCTTTTGCTGGATTATAACGATGAATTTTCTTATCTTTAAATTTACTGCAGATAGCTAAATCCAGTGTAATAAAACTTTTGTCATTTGAAATGTTAGTTAGAATCTAGATAATAACAGATGAAAATAATATTTTATTATGAATGTAGGAAATATGTAAATTCATAGGTTCTTTTTATATGATTTTTTTTTCTATAAATAATTATATAATCATAATTATATTGCAATAAATATTGTTAATAATATTATTTTTAGTTCATTCAATACTATTTTCATTTCATTCAACATTTAAGTTCATGCAATAACTAAGAAATATTATGTTAACCCTTTCGATGATCGATCGATGATGACCAAATTATTTAATAGGAGAAAAAGAAAACGACAATTAGGCGACTGAAAATTACGGCGAAACAGCATAACTTACTCTCTTCCTCCTCATTAACACTTACGATACAACTCTCGAACATCCAGATAAAGTGAAATCTAATTTTTATCTAAATTTTTAATGAAAATAATTTTGAAAGCTTTGATAGTTCCAAGTTAATATAAAAATAACTAAAGAATTTAAGTAAAACTTGTTTATTTCTGGTCGCATATTGTCCTATACCTATTTACTGTATATTAAAATGACCTCGTTCAACGCTGTTTCGTTTAGTGTTTTATATTTTAGAAACGTATACAGAGTTAATCGGGGTATTATTGTACTGTGAGTTTAGCAAATACTGACACCACCTGACGTCATTACAGATATGTAAGTTGTATTAAAGAGAAACATTCTAGATAGTTGCAAACAATTTTGGAAAACAATATATCGTAAAATGTCGACCATAATACAATAAACCTTTTTATACCGGGTTACTCTCATAATGCGGCTTCCTTCTAACAAACATTGCGTTGTTTCTATATAATACTACATAATTAGTTTAAAAACTATTTTGAAAAGAGTTATCTTGAATCTAAAGTTTAGATGAAGAGCAACTGGTGGCATTCATTGATACATCTACCTCAAAAGCATTAGAAGACAAAAATATGGATAAATAATACATTGACAGTCTCAATTTGCAAATCATGTCTCCTTCACATCATAAGGAGACATGATTTGCATAACGAATTGGAGTTAGGTTTCCATACGAATTAATCTGATTGGTACTAATTATGAGTTTCTTATAACGCGTTTTCCATATTACACGGTATGGATTAATTGCGTTATATTAACCCTCCAATTGTACACATTTTGTACAGATTTTAGCTCAGTTTTATAGAAACTTGTTTGTTGAAACTGTTTAAAACTACCTGTTGTGCTTGCCGTTCGAACGAGGTCCTCCAAGATGTTTGGCCTGACGTCGATTCCGAGCTTCTGCATCATTAGATGGAGCTCGTCCTTGTTCAATTTGCCATCCTGATTGGAGTCTATCAGACCGAAGGCGGTCCTCAGATCTGGCGAAGGCGAAAGGTGAAGCAAAACCAAAAAGAAAAAAGGAAATAGACGAATCGTTAAATTTTGTATGGACATGCATGTTATTGTGCGACCGATTTTCTGACGGTCGGTGCTGTTAATTTTAGTCAGTCGCGTTACAAATTTAAGTCCACTTTGTTTATTTTTAGCCAAAGAGGAGTCCCACATCCACCGCAAACCAAAAGTCCCGATCCAGAAATCCAGGAATGCGTCGTTCGTGCCGTTTACCTTGCAATTCGTTTTCGGTGAAATCCTTCCTGCTCGCCGCGGCTACAGCTGCCTGACACTGGCGGGAAAAGACAAAACAAATTGAACATCCCGATGGAATCGATCACGGCATTATTAACAGAAATACCTTCTTGCTGTTTATAGCTTTCGCCATTGCACTCATTTTTTATTGTTGTTATTGTCTTTTTCTTTTTGATGTCACTGAAAAGATCAGTTGCCTTGCGGACCTCGACTTTGTCAGAGTTATAAATTCACTAAAAAACGGTGATGTGTGTTGTTTCAAAAGTGCATCTTGTTGATGTGTTTACTGTGGCAGCACTAACAATGCCACAAAACTCAGCTTTTTGGCAGGGGCCAAACACACATGTAAAAATACAGATTTAAAAGTGGGTAGCAAAGGCGCTCGACGGATTTCGCAAAGCGTTTATAAATTTATAAATGCGTGTGCCCGCCCGCAGCATCCAGACTACTCTATCTGTCCCTGTCTCTCCTGCTATCTACCAATTCTTTAAAAATATATGTGTGTGCGTGTATTACATGTATGTATTTTTGCTGATCCATATACACACACAAACTGAAAGATCTTTTTTATTTCTTCTTTCGAAAAGCGCAACGAAATACAGAAAAATAAATAAACGAGATAAGATGATGTGATATGATCTTATCTACATCAAATTAATCATCATCTATAATACATGTATATTACATCAAAATAGTAATCATTTTGCTTAGTTCGGTCGTACGTACACAAGTACAAAACTTGTGAGTCTTCTTAATCTAATTATGCAGAAGTTTGCAACGTAGATCATTTCATCGATGTTACATAAACGGAACATACAGTTTTTTTCGCATTTTGAGCCAAATATTTTGTGACATGTTTATACTACATTGATGATAAACATTCAGTTTTGGCAATGCGTTTTTATTTACACATATTATTTGAATGCAATAATTGCACAACATAAATTATTTTTGCGATACATTTTGTACATAATCGCCAGTAATAGTTTGTTTTCCTTTATTTTTATACTATAACTTTTTGTACAATTTGTATTTTTCGAATTATTTATTATATTTATTTAATTATGTCATATTACACGGGCCACATTAATGTTGTCGTAGGCTCTAGAAACCTAGACAATTTGGGGTCCATATGCAATATTGCCTGTAAAGAAAGGTTTTAGGCACAATTCTTCTAGGCGTTTCTGTTTTTTTAAACTATTCTTGAATCCTAATTCCTATTTTTTGGTGTGGATCCTAAAAATTATTGTAGAGATTTTTGAGAGCCCTATCATCCATTAGTCACAAGTCAGAAGCTTTGAGTTTATGTGTGATCTTATGCATAAACCTAGTTTAGCAATTTGGTAGCGCCGCTACATTAAACGTTGTAAGAGAAATAATAACTACAAATATCGAGGATCTTTATTTTCAGATAGAATAATATATAGTTTTAGTTATAACTTTAAGTTAAGAATTGAATAATAAATTGCTCTTTGATGTTATTCTAAACTTTTAAACATTGCTTATTAAATTTATAAATGAACATTTTGTTATGCAATGTGTATAGTTTTTAAAATGCCTCTGCCAATGCTAGAGATAAGTGTCAGAGATATTCTCATTTTTTTAATCGACTAATCAACAAATGTTGAAATCTGACTTATATATTGATCATATAAGAAGTGTATAGTATTTTACAACAACTAATTCTCCGCATACAATGGTACTGTTTTTTTAAATTCTTAAATTTCTAGACCCAAGAGGGGCCAGACAACTGAATTAAACAAAATAATTGAGTTGAGTAGTAGATTGTAATCACTTTTTTTTGTCAAATTAGTAGATGGAATTTTTATATTAAATAATGTCCATCTTTTAGATAATTTTAAAATACAGAGAAGAGAGAGAAAACAGAGTAAATAAAAAAAATGTTTAAAAAATCTGCTTAATATTTATTTCGTTTCTTCTAGTCAAAAATATAGTTAACATACTTCTTTAACAATTTTTAAAGCACAACGTAAATGATTAATTATAGTGTTAGTATGTGTTACCTTTCCTGTTTAAGTTAAAGTGCAGTACCGCCTATGCATTGCTTTCGGTCGGTGTGTAGAGGACAGGGGTTGGCTTGTCGCTGGTGCCCCTCGCCATCTGAGCGTAGAACCTCTGACGGTTGTCCCTCTCCAAAGCCTGCTCCGTCTTCAAACGGCGCACAGATTTGGCCAACATGAAACCAAAGATGACGCCCAAAAGTTGGACGACGGCGACGCAGATTGCACCAGTACCGATGAGGGTGGCGCAGTCGTGCATGATGAAATGCAGACGGTTCAAGCATCCTCCGGTGTACAAGTTGTTCAATTCCATTTTGATATCACCTCTGTAACAGCTGGATGGTGGTTCGATGTTTAAGATTTCCTTCCAATCCTCGGGGCCGTTGATTCCGCAGCATTGCAACTGAAGAACGAATTGTTAAAACGATAATCAACTACAACGTATCATCATTACCCTAGACTGCAAGTAATCCCACTCGGCCTTGGTGGAGTTGTGCTTCTTATAGAAGGCGATGGTAGTCTGCATGTTGTCACCGACATATTCGGCAACGTTACTTCTCATCGAGTATGCGGCGATGGCTGCCGAGATCTCCAAGATCAGGATCAAGCTGAGCAAGAATGCATACTAAAAGACAAATAACATTAACCATCGTCTCCGAACGCCAAGAGGTGACCTACAGTGTTGATCAAGCATGTGCTCTTCTTGATGGCGCCGAAACACCCGAACAGCGATACGATGAAGATGATCACACCGATGGCGATCAGAAGAGCGGCCGGGCTGAATTGTGTCAGTATAAACGTCTCGAAATCCGTGAAGATAGCTGTGATTGTGCTGCCTACGGAAATCAGCAGGAAGCCGATCATCTGCAAAACCAAACAACAACATGAATTTTGTAAATCAGTCACGTAGAGATAAGGAGATGATGGATATTTTTAGATTGCTTTGTTGCGATTAAGGAAATCCGATAGGGTCGCGTTCAGATAATATAGATATCATCAGAATGTATCTGTATCAGCAATAATCGATATCTTTGTGGTCTCATGTTTATTTCACTATTATCGTCGAAATAAAACAATGCACATAAATGTAAAGTTAAATTATTACCTATTACTGGAACGCAAACAATGCTATGTTAATGTTGCTGTAGATAAGTTTTATAAACACGATAGCAAAATTTTCCATTCCGTGAACAAACCGATGTCAAACGTTTAACGCTGTTTCACTATTATTTACAAATTGAACAAATATAAAACTAAAATAATATCAAATCATTCTTTTAATTAAATTAATAAAATTGAAAAAACAGACCACAAAGTATAATTGTGTAACATACTAATACTGTTAGACTAATTCAATTTATCCAGATTTCACAATAATTGATTTCAATTTACTCAGTACGATAACAAAAATATCAATTTATTGTTACTAGTCAAACGAGAAAATAACTAACATCATCTCGATGTTAATCGATAAATCAATTGTCAAATTCGTAATATTGAGCAATATTTCTTTTTTTATATTAAAATGTATCTGTAATAATTATAGTATCAAATAATGGATTATATATAATTAATTTATGTACTTTGGAAATATTTATAATAAATTTTATGTTGTCACCATCTAGCGAAATATTAAATTTTATTTAATCTTTTCGAGTACATCGACATTTTTCTTATAATTTAGAATACCGTTTGAATTGGAGATAATGTTCACATGTATTGATTAGTATAAATGGATAAGAAATATATAATTCAATTGTTTTATAACCTAATATTGAGCAATTTTGATTTTTTATATTGTTATATAGCACATATATATCCTCTTTGGGAGAATTTGAATTTTACCTAATAAAGCAGCCCATAAAGACTATGCCTAAATCCACTCCTGGCACTATGCAAGGTATTGCTGTATTAAGTCTTTTCAATTGTTATAACATAAAACAGAGAATTGCACATGTAATTTTCATAAAGAAGTATTGATTCGTGTATTTTGAAAATTCAATCATTTTGAGAACGTAGTTATTTTTTTTTATAATTTCAAATTCCGTGTACGTTGGTGATAGCGGTAATTATTGATTAGTATAAATGGATACAAAAAAGTAAATCTATAAATCAATAGTACTATCACCTAGTACGTGTAACACTGAAACTCGTTATCACCTTCAATTAATCATTATTGAACTGAGTTTCAATGTTTTTTCCTATCATTTATTACTATTGTTCTAGAAAACACTCGAGCTACAATATGATGTTTAAGTATGTAGCTAAAATTCTCCTTAACCGATTTACGTTGCGTTTATTGCGAAACTTTTGAAACGCTTTGTTTGTGCAAACACGAGAATATTTATATGCAGATAAGGCGAGGGGCCCTAATATAGGAACAAACGAAAATCGGAAACAGTAAAAAAGTTACTCACGGCAAACATAAAGTTGGTTGTGAACAGCATGTAGCTGATGCACTTCATTCCGACTTCGGCGTCTTGAGCCATCCTGATGTTGCGATTCTTTCTACCAGATGCGTGTACAAAAAGCATACAATTGCTATCCTTCGCGTATTTCACTGGGTACTGTGATAACGGGCGATACCTTTCAGGCTGTGCCTTAAACCTCTAATCTTGTTTCTGATAACAGCGAGTCGATATCGCGGACAAATGTCGCCGCTATATAAAAATGTATTATTTGTGCTGGCGGGTACTCGAATGGAAATATCGATCAAAATTCATTATTAATTGCGACAAAATGCGACCGATGGAAACTCGCTACAAACAAATACAATGGAGCGCACTTATTAATTGTTTGTCGAACAAGTAAAGAGTTCGTGCACGCAAACACCGCACACATGCGCGTACCTTTCCATCGATAAATGTTTAACGCAATTGTGCTAATTCAACAATAAATGTTGAAGAAAATGCAAGGAAATAATGATTTGTCCCTGTTGACTCATACTATTCACCTTACTGCTATATTGATAAGTATAGCATGTGGGTATATTGTTAGTCCTCTGTTCCTCACTCTTTATGAACTGATAATATTTATATAGTGGTCATTGCTATATGGACATGATGTTAGTCATTGTTCTATGTAACAGCCTTATTTTAATCTAAAGATATTCGTTGCAATATAAATAAAAAAATAAACATTGATATATAACAAATGTCATTGTTCATTTGTTATTGTAACTAATTAACTATGATATTAAAAACACTAGATTATTTAATCTTTTTCATTGAAATTAAAACGTTAAATAAGCATATACATAGTATTTGAATCAATCACATTATTACAATAAAATATCATTTTGATTTAAAAAAAAAATGCTATTTTGTAAAGAAAACAAGCGAATGCTCGTGGTTATATATGATTGCCATTATTGTTTGTACAAAAACCTACTTTTTCAAAAACTGGTTTAAACTGGTATTCGATTATTTACAAAAAAAAAAATTCGTAAATTTTTATTGGATGATATTTTCTTATTGTAGTACAACTGTTGGCCATATTTTATCGGGTAATTGTCTGGTGTTGGCTTTAAATTGGAATATTTTTAATGTTAAATAGGGCTTGAAATTGCGGACATCGTTATCATAGGTAATGTTGAAATAAAATAAAATTACAGTCACATATTTTAATTTTATTGCAATCAGTTACGTATTTAAGTTAAGTAAAAGACGAGGCAAGTGGTCGATTATCGGCATCATAGCAAATTAACAACAAGCTATGTATTTTTTTTTTTCTAATTCTGTTTGGTCGTGGGCCCTAGGTATAGTACCTAATGGATAAAACGGCTCTAGCATTGTGCTCATCCGTTGACTAATCCAATTGACTTTATATGTGTAGTCAGAAAGTCTAAAGAGCCGAACACCACAATTGTTTTAGGGCCCTCAAATAGTAAAACTTACTGGTATCCACGACTTTCTTAACGTGGCCCTCCGAAAACCAACACTTCAAACCCTCTCAACAATTTTTATATCTGTTGTCTATGATTTTTTCTATTTCAAATCGGTTTCAAATCGGTATTACATAAGAAAACTGATATAGTGAAATAATGGACTATCCTCTCCTTTATTTTCCTCTGGTAAGATACATAAAGATCATACAAATTGTCGTACGTTAAGCGAATGCTCATGGTTATATATGATTTCCATTAGGAAATAGCAATATATCAGAAATTTATTTACATTTCTTTATATTACTGAATTATTCCATAAGAAAAAAGTGTTGTCTTTTATCCTTAGTTGAATTAAATGTGTGAATTCATTTTATAACAATCTTATAAATATAAATAATTATCTAATTATCATAGCACCACAAATATTCTTAGCTTTATTATTTTTGAATGTTATTTAACATTTTGAATTATAGAAAGTGAATTGCGTATTTGGTCGAAAACAAGGCGCAGTATAATACTGATTAAATGAAATTGCTTATTATGAAATTATAAAAAATAACACCTCAAATATTCTTAGTATTGTTATTTTTGATAAGCTAACATTCTAATTAAAAAAAAGTGAATTGCGTATTTGAAAATAAGACAGAATACAAAACTGATTAAATGAAATTGCTTATTATGAATATAATGCAGCAATAAAACATATGATAAAAGAATTACAACAACAATAATTCATTATTTCGTTTATTGTACTATCATTCAAATTCAAAATAAATTTTATTTTTATAATTTTCATAAATAAATGTTAATTGTATGTGTTACATTGTATTTTCAAATATAAGCAACATGCAAGTATATTTATTATAATAACAGAATACAGTAATTCCTCGCATAGTCTGAAACAAATAAAATACTAAAAAAATTGCACAAAATGAAACTGTGTATACTATATTTTTAGAATTTATTTTTATTTTGTTCAATTAAAATTTAGTTGAAGTAAAAAATTCTGAGCGTTTTTCACATGATGGCTTTAGTGAGCCATATCTCAACGTATACATCCGTTGCATCTTGTCATTCTATGCTGCGACTTAAAGGCGACATAACGCTTTAAAAAAAGTTCTTTGATAGTTTTGTGTTTAGTGAATCCAGTTGTGTGCTAGATCGTTCCAAAATGGAAGTAAAAAAATAGAAAACTCGATATATTCTTCAGTACCACTACGACCAAGGAGAAAAACGGAGCAGGCGACCAATAAAAAATGTGTTGTTTATGGATCCAATACAGTATAGAATGCAACAGCAGAGCGTTGCTTCCAATGCTTCCGTTCTGGTAATATGGACGTCGAAGATGAGACATGCTTTGGTAGGCTAATCGTCGAAAATGTTGATAAAATCATCGAGTCGGACAGGCATGCGAGCACTTATTCCATTGTCCAGGAACTGAAAATTAGCCAGAAAACCGTTTGGAACCATTTGCATAAGGCTGGCCACAAGAAGAAGCTCGATGTATGGGTACCACATGAATTGACGAAAAAGAACCTTTTGGAGTGAATTGATGCCTGCATTTTTTTGCTGAAACGCCGGGTTAAATGTGTTTGGTGAGATTGGAAGGGAATCCTACACTATGAGCTGCTCACATCGGTCCACTTAATTCGAACCTATACTTTCAACAACTGACCAGATTTAAAGACGCGCCAGAAGTTCCGAGAGCTTGGATGGGAGGTTATATCGTACTCGTCGTATAGTCCAGACCTGGTACCAAGCGATTATCACCTTTTCAAGCATTTGCATTTGGTAAAAAACTGGCCTCAACAGAGGCAGAGTTTTTTACTAGTACAGACGAGGAATTCTTCAATCGAAAAATTATGAAATTGCCTTCAAAATGGATAAAAGTTGTCGAACAAAACGGTTTAGTTGTTGATCTAAATCCGAAAATTCTAACTTTGTTAATTTCATCGTCGAAATACAGAGAAAAAATGCTCAGAACTTTTTTCTTCAACCAATATTTAATAATAAATCTGTTTCTGGGGTTTCTATTTGGGGACAACATCAGAACCTTAAAAATGCAATAATCAAATACAAATCCATTTGCTTCTTATCGGAAAAATCCGGATTATAGTTTGGCCACTTATATAATTCATGTATAAGATAGATTTTATATAATTTTGTCGAAAATAAATATTTACTTTTCAAATTATACATAATTAAAAAATAATATATTTTAAACATATGCCATAAATGAATGTTTGTAACAATATTTAAGAATTATTTGTAGAGAAGAAGTTTATTATGCAACGAGTTTTGCAGTAAAAATGTAACTAACTATTATTAACGATTAAATTTACTTGTATAAGTATACTTTATTCATTTTACGTTTATCAAAAATATCTTCAGATGTATTGAATTTGTAAATCATTGCAGCATGGATGTACTTAATGAAGATGATGTTTTCTTAAAAAAAACTGTAGAAATGTAGAAATAATATATGTCAAAAGATAAGTTTGAATGATTTTTTTCGGGAATAGTCATGTTGGATATTTTTCAGTCCGAAGTAAGTTTTAGGTTGAGAGAGACTGGTTTTCCAACCAATACTAAATTTCAGACTACATGAACTATGTAATAATGGATAAGAGTCTTATTACAAGAGATACATTTAAGTTTCTTGTCAATCTTGTCAACATAAGTAAATTAAATAATATTACTAGTTTGTGATTTGGAGCAAATTCGTTTAGAGTCCTCAAAGATTTGAAGTTTTGCCACTGAATAATCCACTGCAATCATTCATGTTACATTTTGTAGATGACGAATCTGTTTGAAAATATTAACATATGAAATGAAAAAAATTAAAATTAAAATAATAATGAATTGAAAGTTTATAATGAATGCAAACTTGAGGATTTTTTTTAATGCAGCAGAATTATTACAGACAGGGAAAATTTGTAAAGGTTGCAAGTTTCTAATAATTGGCTAAAAAAAATTGATGACACATATACACCTATATCAATTCGATTCAATACATTTAGCTAATTAATAAGTGTGAAGTAAAATAAAATGTGTGTACTGAAATTTTATATTCGATTTATGATTAGTAGCAAATATTTTGAATAGTCCGATAGCGGCGACACTATAATGGCGGCAGATCTATAGGGGGCTTAAACAAAAATTTGTTTAGGGCCCTCAAATACTAAAACTAAATGGTGTTTGCGGCTTTTATGGCCCTTTGTTGGCTTTATGATTTTTCTCTATTTGAAATAAAAGATTGCTAGGTGCCATGAAATTTATCGAAGATCTCTGAATTTGTTTATGCCTTATGAAAAACTCCGATGGATTTAGGGGCCCGAATAATATTTTGCAGAGGGTACAAAGATTTGAAGTTCCGCCACTATATATTTTTAATAATATATTATAATTGATGTATACAATAAAAAAAATAAGTATTAAATGTTTGTATACAACTCCTTTGCAATTGACATTTTGTTGCGGCCGACCATTTTATTATTATCTAATACTTGTAGGTGATTATTTAGAATAACTTGTGGAATATTCGGAAGAACGGTTACATTGTAAATCAAATAGTTGCTTCTATTTTATCAACACTCAGCAGTATTCTTCAGCCCTTAAATATTTGGACAGGATCATAAAACTAAGAAAAGGTTGTATTTTCCACAAGGTCAAAACCTTGATTTTCTTACCTCCCACGTAGCCCCTTTTTGAAATGGTTATATTTTTGTATTATATAATTTAGTCTTAGTTGGCGGGCCGAAGATAGAAGATACTATTAGTTAATCCGAACTGAGAAGTTAGTCTTAGTTGGAGAGTTGAAGTGTGAACAAGGTCTTTCTTGGAGAGTCCAGGGAAGAACACTTGCTAAGTAATTATTAACTTAAGAAGAGAATGTAACTTATAGTTTATAATCCATGAGATCAACGATTGTATAGTTAACTTCTCAATAAAAACTGATGTGTATAATAAAACTAATTAAGAATATTGCATTAAATATTCATAAAACCTTCTAAGACGACATAACTACGAGATAATCCAGTAATTAATTCCGGGACACGACAATTTATTGCAAAGAAGGAATGAGGAAGTATTAACTAATAATCTCTTAATCGGTAAAAACAATAATCATGTTGATAATGCAACATAAATTGTCACTCTTCATGTAAACCCACATTCAATTTTATTAATAATAATATCCAAAATGTTATTAAGAAAACTGAAAAAGTTGAACCCAAATGGAAACTCGGATACATAATAATATTATTTTTCTAAGTTTTCATCAGTATTCATCGTGTTCATGAACTAATAGATATAAAGTAATTAACATCTACTTTATTTCTTTACACTTTATATAGTTAAACACTAACAATAGTTTTTTTTTAATCTTAGTAAAAACTGTATCATTTAAAAAAATAGTGTTAATATATTATTTAATATTAAGAGTTGAAGTAACGTTAAACAATTATATAATAAATGTATTTTATTGGAATAAGTAGAAAAAAAAAACGCAAAAACCTTTTGCTACTTTTATTCTAAATATAATTAGAATAAAATGATTTTACAAATATGAAATTTACTCACTATCAACTGCGATTAATTTAATTTTATATATACATAATATACTAAAAATAATTACGCTACTTACTAAATATAAATATCAAAAGAAATTGGCAATGTGAATATATTATATTAATTAAAATAATCTTTGCAAAATAATTATGATATATTATGGAATTTTCATAAAAGAAAGATGTTGAAAATGTGTATATTTTTTATTTCGATGTTTTTGTGAATAAAGAAGGTAAAAGTTCCCAAATGTGAGAGCTCTAAGACAGCGTTCTTTATGAGAAATATTTCTCATAAATTTCTCGAATTTATGAGAAATATTTCTCGGACCGGTTAAGATAAAAACTTTATAAGATAGAAATATAAAGTTTCGAGCTCTGATTTTAAGTTTAAAATAATAATTATGATATTTGCTTTTATATTAGTTTATATGTAATTGATCAAAATAGGTAAGTTATAAATATAGATTATTTCTTAAGAACAATACAAAACGTATCAAAATAAGTATACATTATGGTACAGCATTTATTTATATTTACTACAGAATTTTCATAATAAAATATTTATAATAGAAGAAAAATGATTTGTAAAGTATACAAAAAATACATTGATTACAATCGAACCCTAATTTAACAATAATATATAATTAATCAGACTTTATAAGAAAATTACACCGAAAACGTCGTCAATTATCTAACACCATTGAAAATTCAAGACTATGTCATTGTAAGACATTGACCACGCATAATGTTACTTACCATCTGTGAGATTTGAAGAATGAGCACCAGAAATTCATACTTTTCGCGAGCGAACGAATTCATATTTAAATAATTTAATATTGCCTACGTGCACAAATACAACTTTGAAAATGTGCAACATTAATCATCGATCAGGCTTTAAACGAAATTTATATCAAAACAATATTATCTTTTCTCATTTTTCGCCGTTCCTTTCATAAATACGAGTATTCTTATTGTTTAGATTGAGTGCGAGATACAATTTATAGGGTGTATCCCGGAAATTTGGCCTCCATTGGGTTCTGTATGTCCAGCAATAGGTACATGGGTCCAGAGATTCCTTCAAACAAAGACACCGGCCGATCCGGCGTGTATTCCTCGTGCTCCTTGGTGTAATTGATGCACCATTCGCAGAACTTCAGAGCTCGGTAAAGATGTTTCAAATCCTGTAAATAATGATTGATGATTACAGTAAAATCGTAACCAGTTCTTCGAGTAGAAGCTAAAAAGGCGTATGTGAACCTTTCATCATCTCACCTTTGTAGTTTGATAAAGTTGTAGGAAGCAATAGGCGTTGCCAGAAACACCGTGGCAGAGGCTGTAGCCCTTGTGCAGTAACCCCCGTTGCCAAACTATGTCACCAGCCATTAAAGCCAGTTCCAAGTAGTGCGGATCCTGGAAAACCTTTTAAAACAATTATAAAATTACTTATTTATTGCAATCAAATATTCAACTAGAAATTAATAAAGCGTTTAGTACATTTATTGAGAAAAACGTTTGAGTAATGCATATTCTTATCGGATAAAATTAGATTAATTTTATTTGAAATCTATTCAGCATAAATTGGATAATATAAATAAACACATTTATAAATTAATATTTAAGTAATTCTGTACACAAAATCGAAGGAATTAAAACATCTTTTTTTTTTCTTTAAATGTTCTGTATAAGTATATTGACTTTGACCTACAATTAGTTCCAGTTTATTTATTTATACTGATAAATATGATTTCCATTTACTATGTGTACAAGACAAAACAATTATCAGTTGTTGTTTAACTGTGCAACATGATGTGAATATGTTTGGGCGCATAACTGTGCGCCGGAAAAAAAGTAAGGCTTGGCTAGAAAAAGAGAAGCACGGCAAAAAAAGAATTAATATGAGTTGACAGTTAAATGATTTCAAATAAAAATATGAGTTGAGAGATAGTTAAATAGTAGTGTGAATTGTAATAAGTAAAATAAACCGACATCTTTAATCTACCAGACCGAGTTCTTATTATTCACCCACACAACTTGGTCCTTCGTTCAAAACAATGTATGTCATACATTTGGAAAAATAACAACAAATTATTTGTTGTATTTTGTGAGATTATTTATTAGTACTTTAATGAATATTTTAGTGAAAGTTGTTTTAAATCCAAATTGAAATATGAATATATTTATAATTGAAAACTTATTTCATTAAGAAAAATATTCATTTAAACGAAATAAAAAATGAATAACTTTCAATTATTTGGTTTTGTACGGTGTATATTTTATTTCCTTATATTTTCTGTAGTTCCTTAAATATTAAAGTCAATGTGACTTTCCTTAAATATTAAAGACAATGTGACGAATTTGTACATTTTTATTCACTTTGAGAAATAAGACTTTGATCAAAAATTGTATGTTATAGGCAATTTGATTATAGTATATCTTAAAACAAATATGTTTGAGTGCGCAACAAAAAGGTCAAGAAATGCTGGAAGTATTTTTAATTTTCTTAAATTTTTGTAGTTTTTTTTTGTACTAATTCGAAAATCAGCTTTTTGGAAATTCCAAAAGCTCTTTTTTTTTTTCAAAAGTAAGTTTATCTATACACACTACTACAGTCCTTGTATAGCGCTACCTCGATTAAAGCTCAATATAACGATGTCTACTCAAAGCCTAAAAAGACTCTAAATTTACCTATTTACTGAATTCGCTTGAAGCTGTTTCATTCAGCGTGTGTCGTCTAGGAACGACCAAACCAAAAGACAGATGCTATAATATAACTATGTCAACCAAAAAAAAATTCTTCATAATGCAATAATACAAATTATAATTTACCTTATATGCGGCGCTGAACATGTAAACGAAGCCTGGAGCCCCGTGGCACCATTGCACATACTTGTCTCCACTTTGAGATTCCAGGGATGAAGGATAGTTGCCGCTGGGGTACTGTAAGGTGGCCAGATAATCGACGGTAGGTCTGACGATGTCGCTAAGTTCAATTTCCTTCAGATGTTCTTTGGCTTGAAGCAACAAATAAACGATGCCGGTCAAACCGTGCGCGGCTCCCAAGTAATTACTCCCATGCCACTCGTACATCAACGGACATTTGTGGTTGCCATCCTTCGAGTACCTTTGGCCGATCTTCAGTATAGCCTCAATAACATTCCTGATGGTGGGTCCTTCGATCGGAGGCGGCGAGATGTGCTTGTTCAAATAAAGAAGGCAGTACAGGTATCCTGTCCTGCCGTACATGTATTCACTAGGCAAATCGGATTTGGAATTGATCGCATCCGCTTTCAGAGAGAGCAGACTCTTAATCAGACACTTGCACTCGTTCTGCTCCCCCAATCTATGGCAAACCACAGCGCCGATGGTGAGAGGACCACCATCTCCGCACAGAAATGTTAAACGACGTTTCGATTTGATCGAATTCGTTTTCAAGAAACTTCTGACTTCCTGCAAAGAACAACGCAATTCCATAATCTGCAAACTATTTCTTTTGAAATTAGGGACTTACTTTTAAGTTTTCCAAATCATTCGGAGCTTTCCTCAGGTACAACAACGCAATACCCGCAGTGCCCGTGTACACGGTTAGATCGTTGTGCTTCAGTTCATGTCTAATTCTATCTTTGGTTTTGCACCATTTCTCCTCGATGCTCGTTTTTATAATTGAATTATCTCTAACCTGAAACAAACATTCATTTTCAAATTACTATATTATACGTTACTATAATGTACATCAGTGGTCTTCAAAATGTGTTATATGATTCCGCGTATCAAAGAAAACATTCGTAAGATTTTTGAAAAGTTCAAAATAGTTGTTTTATTATTAATTATAATATTACCATTTATTGCTAAAAACATAAAATTATATAATTACAAAAAACATAAATCGTTGAAACGTTCGAAATTCCTATATATAATCACAATAAAAATATAATTAAAAGGTCTTTTGACATCAATTAAATGTAGATAACAAAAATATATTTTAAGAAAAACAAAACTGTAAGAATCTTATAAAATAACTTGTATTGTTTAAAAATGATGTAATGATCCTAATGCAATGTAATAAAGACTGCTTGCTGAATGTGAAATACACTTACAACGTACATCAATTAGGTGAGAGAGATCAAGGTTTCAATATTTTATGAACAAATAATATACCAATATAATGAAATAATGATGTTGTTTTAATTTTACAAATTAATTCAAAACTTTATCAACGATTCCCATATCCCATATCAAATTCTCTGATATCTGATTATGTGGTATTTGTACTAATACATGATTGAATTTTCATATGTTCCAAATATGCACTTTTCTAATTTTTAATAAGTAAATTCATAAACGGATTGTCCGGAAAGTTGTGTTGATTTTTGACTATAATTAAAAAACAGAACTTTTATATTCGATATAAATTTTTAATTAGGTATACACTATTTTAATTTATAAACCTTTCTTTCACGCAACTTAAACATTTCATCCTCCCAAATGTTTATTTTTTTTTGTTAAAAAACCGTATAATGGTTTTTTTTAACAAATAAAAAATAAATATTACTTCAGTTAATGGAATTTTGCAAAGATAAGTGTTAATAGTTGAGTAATACAACAATTCTGATATATCAAGGCATTGCCCATTGGCGCCTAGCAAAAATCAGCATTAACTTTCCGGACAACTAAAAATTTTCAATATTGCATTAGTATAAAAAAAAATGAACAAACACAAACAACTGTATACCAACATTTTTCTGCATTTCATTGTTGTACCAAGGAACAAAATCGACTAGATTTAGAAACTATAAGAAACATAATAAATAAAATACGTATTTAAAAAAAATGTCTTTACGCCAGGAATATTATAATATTATATTAATAATTAAGTTCACAAAAAAAAACTATAACGGATTTTTTCAACCTGCCGGCATGTGAAACTATTAATTAATTCAGTAATTATATGCAAAATATCTCTGTTGATTTGTAGAGGTATTAGGCCAGCAACAATAAAATTTTAAAAAATCTATATTTACTATAAAATATACAAAAATTTAGAAACTATTTGCAATAGATAATTGTAACTATTAATTTACAAGTATCCCTATGTATTTATTTATTATATATTATGAACGAGCCGCCATTAATGATTATAGTCTTCAGATGATGTGATTTTGTGATTGTGATAAAAACTGTGTTTTCTATTTAAATCAAATCTTGCGTTAATTTTGGGACACCCTTTATAAGCTCTTAAACTTTTTAAATATGATTATTACGTTTGTAAATAATTACGAATAATTTTGTTATTTACATTATTTATTTGATAATATTCATATTTCACTTAAAACCAACTTTCTATGAAATTAACTACTTGTTATTTATTTATTTTAAGTTCCTTTGACTGAACTATTAATTATTACAATTACAATGTTTTTATTAACAGTTTTGAGCTAATTACATTTTAATCGATATAAACAGGGTTCGACATCAACAGTAAAAATTCTATATTTATATATCAAAATATATAAATTTTACTCTAGAACTACTACAGTTGTAGTTATTAATGTTAAAATGTGAAAAACCAATTTTATTTTAAACTAGAATTTTATATTTCTGTATGTAATTTATTAACATTCCAATTAAATTATGCATTGAAATTCCACACTATCCCAGGAAAATTCTTTAGCGATATGAGTCATGTAAATGCATTCCGCATATTAAGAGTTTTAATCATACAATATTTAATAAAAATGAATGTGGAATTTTACAAAATTCATAAATTAAAAATTTAACGGTTTTCTTATGGGAATTTACGTTGCATAATTGAATATACTGTTTTTAATGTAAACATTAAACTTGTTGAATTGATCATTACATTGTATTTAGGACAAGCGTCAAATGTGATGATTATAAAATCAATAATGTTGGAATCTTGTCATCGCGGATGCCATTTATATGAATTTGATAACTTTCATAATTTTCATGGAAACCGGCAAAAGGAAGCGGTTTGTATATGCATTCGAGAGATTACGCAAAACCACAACATAACCTACAACTGTAAACAACGCGCAAATTGACAAAGACTCACCGTATCACCGAAGATAACATCCTTCGCATTTTCCGTGGAGAAATTAGGAAATGGATTCGGGAAGAACTTCTTCTTGATTTTGTGTATGCTTACAGCCATATTTCCCACTTAACTGTTTGCACCTGTCTGGAACTCGCACGTCTCGCGTCTACTGTTTGTATGCACCTGCATGACACATAATGACACCTGACGCACTTGTCTGGCTCTAACGATTAATGTAAACCTACTAAAAAGAAAATATTGCGCATCATTCATTTTAAACTATAAAATTTAAAACTTTTTTCTCAACAACATAAAGTTTAAAAAATTCTTTCATGTATGTATAAAAAAGGTACCGCTGGATACAATTACATCCAGTTACAGTTATATTTTATAGTGTTCATATTTCTAAATCATTTATTACTTTATTTAATTATTCTATAGATTTTATTTAAGTTTTTCTTTAAATATTTATATCTAATTTATCATATGTTTTGTTATTTATTTTTCAAATCTTCTAAAACTCAACTACTGATTGTTATAATGATTTTCCAGGCAAACTTCACTTATTATTGTTTAATTAATAATCTGTTATTATTATAATAATAATAATATTTATTAGAGCTATCCACATAAGTCTTTTCGCCCTGTTTTATTATTATATAGAAATTTTTATTTTCTAATTTATTATTGCAATAAATATTATTATTATAATTAATAATAAGTTTACTTCTTCTGTTTTTTTTTGCTTCTACAGGCAGTGGAAGTATGCCTAATTCTATTCCTAATTAAAGACCAGATTATTAAACATATACTGAACAAATATCAGCACAAACAATAATAATAACCCTGCCAATAATATTGAAAGAAATAAAGAGCTAACTCCAAATAAATAATAAGAAGTTTAAAAAAGCACCTCTTCGAAAACAAGAATTTGACTAACTTTATCAATAATTAATTAACAGATGAACGTTGATATTTTATACCCTTGCATGATTATTAGTTTTACTCAAAACACATATAAGAACTCTTCACGAGTTCTTATAACATCGGGATCCAGCGATTCTTATAACAATGTGGAAGGTCTCAGATAGGTAAGTAAAATATGTTACGAATTGTTATAAAGGTACCAGTATCAACAAGTAGATATAAGTTATATCTATACAAAAAAGGTAAAATATACAAAAAAAATATGAAATAAAACCGTTGGGAGATTTACATTGTTTGATGTCAATTCACTCTACAGGGCGTTTGTATGAATACTATTATTTGGGCATTACAAAATAAATGATTTGTAGAGGCTGTCATGCCACAAACACAGTGTGGAGATTCCAAAAGATCCATACGGAACAATTGAGCTGTCGTGTTCTGTCCGCAATATACTCAGCGCCGATACTTCTGGCTTTTTTGTAAAACCAAGTCTCAAGAACCACGGTTTATTTCCTGCTTCCGCATTCCATTCAAATTTTGTGTGGATTCAATTGCATTTATCGCACCTCTTGAATCCGAAAAGATCACTACCTCCCTCCTGTCATACACTTCAATAATTCTCAAAGCCCTATATATGACGTGCAACTCTGCCGAGAATATAGAGGATAATTATGAGATCCATCCACACTCACAAATATGTGGTCCTTCCATTGAATGTTTAGAAATAATAAATTGGATAATTTAGATATTTTCATTAAATCTATTCATAAAATCGACGAACATTCACACACAAATTAAAATAATCTTGAATAGACCAATTATATATCAAATATTCCTATTGACTCATCATATCAAACATTCTATTTCCTTGCTCGGCCAGAAGGGCTTAGTCCCAAACAAAAAACGTGCCCGGCGTATCGCGTTTACCGCAGGTGTGTTCTGGATGGACATTAATTTACACAAATATTTTTTGGTATTAGCATTCTAAGACATACTTTTGGTATCCGCTATAAACACAAACACATTCCAGTTGTATGTACCATAAAAAAAATCTGTTCACCCTTAACTTTGAAATAATACAGTGAACCCAAGCTGAATCGAATTTCTCAAAAACAGAACTTATAAAAGTGGTGAACTATAAGAAGATATATTAATAATTAGTAATATATAAACATATTTATTTTTTTATATAAATAGATATATTGGTACTTCGTATACCCCCATTATCCGTTACATATCATTAAGAAACTTTAATTTTCTCTTATTTGTCTCTTTCCCTTACTTGTACCTGGTTGAGAAACTTCAGATGTCACGGTTACTAAAAAAATGTCTAAAGAACTTTATTTCTGGCTACACCTCAGGGTGTTTCGGAAATGTTTGATCATTCACACTACTGTGCCACGAGAGATTTCAGGTGTGGCGTAGGGCTTTGTTGGATCAACAAATTTAGTTCATATAATATTGTTGGGATTTTTATTTGTGGTGTGCCGTAAAACAAATTCTCTTTGCCCAGTGTGTCGTGAATTTAACAAGTTTGGTAGACACGACGAAACAAGACGTATATTAATTTGGACTTAGTCTAAAGCCGTATACCGAGGTAACACTGTATATGTCTTAAAGAAGTGAAAAAAAATTTTTTTGCTGTTATTATTAAATATCATATAAACTAAACTAAAAGTTTTAATTAATTATTATAAATTATTCAATATAATCAATTATTATAAAATCGAATCTGGTATTCTGTAATTATTTCATCTGATGAAAATTATACGTATAAAATTGAAAATGTCTATTTAAATCTTATGCAATATTATGTAACTATAAAAATAGTTACTAAATTTATCAATATTATTTATTGAATATTAAAAATAATCATCTACTATACAAAAATTAACTGGTCTATATCGCAAACCCCGACAACCAAAATACCGGCTATCGAAATCCCGACTGTATCAAAATCCCGGCTATATCGAAAATTTCTACAATAACATTTTTGTTTAAATTATTTCGGAGCGTAGTTACTTGTGCTACATTTTTATTTTTAATAACAATACATTATTATTAATTTATTTGATTTTGTTGAATTATTCATAATTAACCTTAATATTATCAAATAATATTCAAATATTAATATCAAATTATTAATTGTTGTTATTTATTATTAATAACAATTTAAAAGTGACTACGCTTCGGAATAATTTAAAAATGTTATTGAAGACATTTTTGATATAGTCGGGATTTTGATACAGGCGGGATTATGGTTGTCGGGATTTTAATATAGTCGGGATTATGCTTGTCGGGATTTCGATACAGTCGAGATTTCGAACGCCGAGATTTCGATACAGTCGGGATTTCAAACGTCGGGAATTTGATTGACGGTATTTCAGTTGTCGGGCTTGCGACTGCCACCGAAATTAACATTATCAACAACCAAAAATGTGATATAACACTTATTTATTATAAAATATATGCATACTTATTTAATGTTTTTATTTTTACAACTCCTACAATTAATATAAAAGACTATTTAGACAAGACAACAATAATATCGACCTTATAAATGTGAATTTGGAAGTACGGATTAATTTTTCTTTTTAATTTATATTTTTTTTTTCTAAAAAATATTTTTTTTTTCAAACAGTATCAATTTTTGTTAATAAATAATAATTTAGTTTAGTTTTTAACATTCTTTTTTATTTACACATTTTAATTGACCCTAATTTGAACCAAAAGGATATCCTATGTTTTATGCCAATACATAGGAGCTTCTTTTTATTTTACACTTAATACAAGTACTGTTTTTTTCAACATCACAGACATGTACATAATTTAAATATAGTTTCCTATCTTTCAAATATCTTAATTATAGAATAAATCTGAAATATAAATTACATAAATAATTATTTAAATTTTATTTTGTCAGAAATAATTGTGTGGGTTTTAAAGTACAGAAGATGAACATACAACAAATCAAGAACTATTTACAAGTTTGCTATGTTCTTAGTTCTGAATGATACAATTTAATAGTGTACAATGATGGAATCGTCAAATATCATTAAATACTATTTGAACATCATTAGTATTCGAGTGTACATCGCAAGCCCGACAACCCAAAGATCGTCTATTGAAATCTCGACTGTATTGAAATCCCGACTGTATTAAAGTCACGACGCTTGAAATCCCGACTACCATAATCCCGACAATCAAAATCCCGACTATATCGAAATCCCGACTACCATAGAAATGTTGTAGAAATTTATAATAATAAAAGACACTGTCTGGATTTTGATTGTAGGGATATTGGCATAGTCGTTATTTCCAGATAGTCGGGATTTCGAACGTCGGGATTTTGAGCCAGCCGGGATTTCGATACACTCGGGATTTCGAACGTCGGGATTTAGATAGACAAGATTTCGGTTGTCGGGCTTGCGATTGCCACCGATAGTATTCATATTAGAAATTCGAAAAATTCGTCAGTTTTCAACTAGTTCCAGAAATTTTTTTGTATGACATTTTTGTCAGCATTTGTCTATAAATTAATTTTCTCGACTGCAATAAAAAATGTTAAAACTACTAATGATAAACATGTTTTATTTGTATATTGTCCTATAATAACTAGTAACATTGGTGGATTACCCGTTAAGAAAATGATGTACGTGCCTAAACTTTGGGAGCTCCAAGCCTATAGTATTTAAGAAAAAATGTCTTTCTGTCCTATAATAATTATTTGTTGTTATTTTATATTTGACTTTTGGTTGTATCAATGCTAAAACAATGACTCATACAATTATTTATGGAAACTTAACAAAGATAATTACAACACTATAGATAATGCAAGGTTTATAATGACAGATAATAGTTTAAGTACTATAATAAATTATTTTACTTACATTATATAAACGAAAGGCGGAAATAGAACCAAAAAATATTTTTTATTATTATTAATAAATAATATTAAATTAATATTAATTGAGAATCAATGTAAAGTTCAATAAATGTAAATATTAATAAAAATTTAAATTCTTACTGTTATGTTGGTTGCCTAACGTTTGTAATGTTTTATAGAAATTTGGAATTATCTACGATTTCTGATAGAATATCTTGTAAAGTAAACTACACGCAGTTTTAATAGTACTTTGCTTATGCTATTATGATTACATGCATTCGTATAAATTGTTTATGTTGGATGAATGCTATCGGATCTGTCAGCTCAGCCCAGTGTAAATAAATATGGCGACTGATAGTGGTTGTAGTATGAGTGCGGTGATTAGACTTCTCTAATAATCTGTGTAAATTCGATATTGAACGCAACTAAATGAGTTGCAAGTGATTCACTGTGTTTTCCGCTGTACAAAACGCTCTTAAAACATGGACGAGGAGCAAGGACCTATCTGTTACGTCGTCGTAGTCGGTTTCCACCACAAGAAGGGCTGTCAAGTGAGTATTCCAATAAGAAATTCAATTGTTTCTCACCAGCATTTCCATTGTTTATTGCAAGTTTCATGTGTTGTTATATGTTGTAGGTTGAATACTCATATCCACCTTTGGTACCCAATTGCCCTAATGAGTGCCCACCAGGATGGAAGTATCTACCCACCTTGGCACTGCCAGACGGTTCACACAATTATGATGAAGACACTGTCTTCTTCCATCTGCCCAGTTTGACGAAACCCCGTAAAACCATCTATGGCATATCTTGCTTTCGACAAATACCAGTTGAGGTTGTATTGGCAAACAACAATCACTACAATTAACTTACTATAAACATACTTGTTTTACAGAAAATCAAGAACTTAACATCTGATATTACCAGAGGAACAGTGCAAAAGTCAGTATGTGTTTTAAGTACTGTTCCACTGTATGGACATATTCAAGTAAAAATGGCTCTCATAACTCATGCATACTTTGATGAAGGAGATTTCAGTAAAGTTTCTTTACTGCAGGATACGTACCACCATTTGAATTCTGTTTTATTACAAAATGAGTCACCTTCTCAGGCGTTTGTAGGTATGTTCGGCACATTTCAATTTGTTTTTTTTTTCTATTTGTATATTTTAGTCTTTAGAACATTCAGATTCATTGATGTTTTTAAGGTTTATCAACTAGAGATCTTATTCTGCAATGGAGACACAAAGCTGTGCTGCTGTTCAAACTGCTTCTATTGGAGAAACGTGTGATCTTTTATAAATCGCCGGTGCATCCTTTGTGTTCGATGGTCTTGTCTTTACTTTCTCTGCATCCAGGGATGATTGAGAGAGGACTGGACGAGTCAGCTTGCATTAGGTGAGTTCATAATGTTATTCAGATTTATCGCGTTTTATTGAAAATTCCGGTTTGATCAACCGAAAATTGATTGCTATTAAATTAAAGTGTAATTGATATATTTTAGAGATAACAATATTTGCTGAGAATAGATATATTATGTTTGTTCTGATTAAAAGTGTACTTTATACTAGTAAAAAATATTTATAATACTAATTTTGGAAAGAAATAAGCTAATAATAATCATTTATTGTCAAGAAAATATAACATAATATTGAAATAAATAAAATGAATTATAAAAAAAGCAGTTAATTAATAGATACGTCTTGTTAATGAGCTATCGACCTAGGTCTTTCTGCTCTAATTAATCCATTATTTTGAATGTTTAGTATGCTAACTAGATTTGCAATTCAGTGTTTTTATTTTAATATGATGTTAAATACAATATATCTTAATTTCTATGAATAATGTCCTAAATTTGGAATGGAATTGTATTTAAATTTAATAACTTTCATCAAGTTCAGTGAGAAATTTATTATTTTCTTTTTGCAATAAAAGGATACCATAATAATTAATAAACTATCATCGATCGTCCTTATACATACTTGCATCTGCGCAGGACGTACGCTGAAGCCGTAATTCATGTTCTCCATAGATTCAGAAAATATTATTTTCTAATATTAATATTTCTTGCAACAATTATACAATAACACATTTACAGTGGAACCGCGCTTAAAACCGATAAGAAGAGAAGTCCCGGATTGCGCGGCTGCTGCATCATTTTTAAAACTTGCGTACATATATTATGTGTATTTTTTTATATGTTTCACCATACGAGTAAAACTGCGGAAATTTTGGAACGGATTAAACTTGTTAAGCGAGGCTCCAATGTATAGCTAAACGAGTAGTAGTAATTAAAAAAAACTATGAATCATTTCAATGGGCGTTGAACTTGATCTTTCCTCCCATGTTTTCAAATACTCTAGTCTGGTTTGAAAATTTGTAAATTAAGTAAATTTTAATTGAACAAAATAAATAGTACACACAATTATTTTTTATACATAAATGATCGTTTTTTCGCTTTATACAAAATCTCTTTTTGTGCGGTTTGTTTTTGTTACATACTCGATTAGTCCGGTTTCATACAGTCTTTTTACTTCAACACATAAGTGAGAATGTGTTGAAGTAATTAATCATTTTATTGGTTATAAATTGGAGATAAAATAGAATTATTCATTTTCTGATTAAAATAATCGTAATAAATTCTAAAGAATACAGAGTTTTTAATAATTTACCTATGAAATAGAACTCTCTTGTATGAATATCACGAGCTTAGTAACAAAAAACGAATGTAACTGTGATCACAAAACGTCTAGAATTCTAATATTGTGAATATTTGATACGTGATGTAAATATTAGTATTATTATTTTGTAGGCTTGTGTTATCAATAACACGTTTGTTGATATAACTAATATTATCCAGAACTCACATGTGCTATGATAGTCATTTTATACCTTAGTATTTTTTTGATGTAAATTTATTGTGTCCAAAGTTTTTTTGAAAATAAAATATTTTGTTCTGTTTACAGATTGTCGAGGCCAATGTCGCCAATGCCGAATTTCTCGGATGACGATGGAACGCCAGAAACTAGTCCTAGGCATAAACCTGTGGAAGTGGGCAGGCCAGAACAACCAGCAGAGGTAAAGCAGAAAGATGCAATTATTGATAACGATGAGATCGGTATAGAGCAGCTCACAGAATCCATCACCATCCCGAATCCGGATGGTAAAAACGAAGAGAAATCGTCCTCTTTGAGGAGAGATGTAAGCACTGACGGGATCACAGAGCAAATGAACAATAATTTCGCATTCTTAGCCCAAATTAAGCCGGAAACGTGCGGCCTACCACTGAATATTTACAAGCAAGGCAATCTTTGTCTGCCTTATCTCTCTTTACCATACATGGACCTCCTGAGCGACGTTAATGTGAGAGGTTACGTCGCCGGAGCCACGAACGTGCTCTTCAAGCAGAAGAGACAATTGTATGATATTCTAGTTGACATTGAGGCTGGTCGGATCGAGTGTCAAGATTTGGAATTGCGTAAGCAGCTGCATCTTACCACCGAAGACCTTAGGTTCGCCGATTATATTGTGAAGCATGTTAGCGAGGAGAAGCACGATGTGTTCTTGGATGGTGTTGGATGGGAGGGCGGCGACGAATGGATCAGAGCTCAGTTCAAGATTTACTTACTTTGCCTCCTCAGGACATCATTACTTTCAGGTATTTTCAAAATAAAAGTGTATGTTGAACTTTACATATGTATATCACTTCTTTGGGAAATTAAGGATTTGATTAGACTATTTCCATTAGTACTTATTCTCGATAGAATAACTTTATTTTTTGCGCTCACCTAACGCACATTCTTTAAATGTGTTTTTGATAATAGCTCCATTATTTACAAATTAATGACAATTGTACATGAAACATTCATATTTTATGTATTTTACTGCAGTTGAAGTTTGTAGCTTAATCTCTTTTTTTCTATAACTATTTTCGAAATATCTAGCGTCAAAGTGTACGTTCGTATTGAATATTGAGTACTTTATAATAAATATTACATTTTCTTAATTTTTGGTACTAACATATAATAGTGATTTACTTAAAGCTAGTACATATTCTAATGTACTTCTTCAGGCGCGGACGCAAATTAGATATTTGGCACCAGGCGCAAGTTCTTTTTTTTTTTGCTGAACAGAACAGTCAAATATCATTTAATTTTAATTCTATAATCAGAAATTGGGTAACCTCAGATGAGGGAGCCTGACAAAAAATCATCATAGAACTATAATCAGAAATATTAAGTATATTGAACATGTATTAATCATGTTACTTTTTTATAATTTCTAGATGGTAGTAGAGAGTTGGATCATTTCAATTCAACATTTGTGCAAACTTGGAAGGACACCCACAACTATAAGATGTGGAATAGCGCAGAGGCTTGCGGTATTTTGGAAGTCAATCCAGGCCACCCCTTTGCCGGACAACTATCGGTTTCGGATATGAAGCTAAGGCTATCGCAGTGAGTAATTTAGATTAATAGTTTTTCTTTCTTTTAAATTTGCTTTGCGTTGCTAATATTGAATCATTCTTTTAATTCAGTAAGTATGCATCATGCGTATTTTATTGGCACTTCCTGTACGCTTTATTGAGTTGGCGCATGTGATTATTCGAATATCCTCATTTGTAATTTACATATATTATTATTATTTCTCTTTTGTTTATTTTCTGCAATGCATTTTAACGAAAGTATTAATTTTAGGTGTACTTCAAGTTAACATGATTTAACAAACAAACAAAAGGTCGACAGACCGTTCAAAAAATTTGAAAATGTATATAATTTTTAATATGAAATAAATATGGTTATCAAAGGACTATGAATCGTTGTCCTTACGTCCTACTCCATGATATTATTTTATAAATGATTATTTATAAAATGATATTCAACCACATTCTTAATTTACTACATTTATATGAGATTCATTGTATCTATTTACTTTTTTTAGACTAATTCAATAATATTCCATTTTTCATTTGCAATATTTTCACCATCATTTTCCTAAATTAAAATAGATTTTATTAATATTGTATATATTAGATACCATAAAATCTTTAATACTATACCCATTCCTGAAAAGCGTGAAAGATTATGATCAAATTAAATTTCGTATATAACTTATATAAGTTTTTGTTTTAAATTTCATAAATATTATTCTTAATCACTTCACTGCCTTCACATTCTTAATATTATTCTGCGTATTATATTCAAGATTTTACACTTATTATTATTTTATCTATTTCTTATTTTTCTCTGTATATACACCCTTTCCAGGTAAATAATCTACTTATATCTGAATATCTCACGTCGATCATTGTAGTTTATATAACTGCAGTATCGCCTGTAAATAGTGCAATTTTTGTGTTTTTTTCATTAGAATGTTTACTGTTAGAGATATTTAATTTTCTTGAAGACATATTAGTTTATTCAAGTTTTAGTACCTTAGATGTGATTTTATAATTAGGCAGACATTATATGAAATGTTCCTTTTTTCATTGTAAACAAATTTAGTAGAAGATTTAAATAAGTATTTTTAAAACTGAAATTTAATCAAATGTAAAACATAACGGAATTGCATAGTATTTGTAATAAATTAAACATAATCTATTTAAAATGTTTAAAATATTTTGTTCTAACACTATTGCTGTTTGTCTATCTATATTAAGTATTTTTTTCATTATATATTGACAAAATTAACTAATTTATTTGAATCGGAAAGTAGATTTCGTATTTTAATTAAATTTATAAAATATGATGTCAAATGAAGACAAAAATACAGCAATAATATATTAAAAATAGTATAAGGAATCATTATCCTGGAGAGAGATTTAACTTAATTTTATCAATGAATTATTAGTTTTGAATAAATACTAAAAAATCAGTATAAAAAAAGTTAAATTTGCCAAATTGCATTAACCTTTTTTAAATATTTACAAAAAAAACAATACGTTTCGCGAATCTTTGCTTTTTATTTGAGGTGTTAATTTTATTATAACAGTTCTAAAGAAGTTACTGTGGATAAAGGAGGAGTGTTTTGTGTTTATGTGTGTAGAATTAAGACTTATAGCGAACTGTCTTTATTCTATTGGAAACAAATTGCATTGGTAACCAGTATTATCCGTGATACAAATTGTATATAATGTTATAATATAATAATATTTATATATATGTTATAAGTGAAATTTATTTTGTTTTAGTACAATGCATAACACTGAGAGTGGAAGGAAAATAAACCAAGCCATGGTGTCGACTGGTCGAGCCGTGGCGACAACGAGTAAAGCAGTCGGTTAGTATACAATCAATCATCCTCTCGTTCGATACGTCTCACATTTGAGGTGATTTCAGGCGGTGCAATATCCCATGCGAAAGGAGCTTTCTCTAGCTGGTTCAGCAACTTATTGGTGAGCCCTGATCCCGGCCAAAAGCTGGACGAAAAGGTGAAGGAAGAGGAGGATGAGGCGGAAGATGAGACGAGCACTAAAGAGAGCGAGGAAGCCATGAACGAGAAGAACGACGTTAACAACATCAAGAAGGACAAGGATCTGATGAACGGTTTCATAATTCAGCAGGACAAAACCGACACGTTTGCAGTGAAGAAGAGTCCCGAGATCAAGATCGTCTAAGCTCGTCAATTACATTTGTATCCTTTTCCTTTCCCCTCGATTAATGGCACAATCAATAATGTATAGTAACTTTTTATGAACCCGGTCGTTCGAAGACGCGAGTTTTTTTTTAGTCAGTTTCAGCAAAGCAGTTTACATTCCCCGATTGTATATATATTTAACATGCGAATGGAGTGACGTTATTTATTAAGTCTATTAGCAACCACGTTCGTACAATATGATTTTGTGATTACATTGCTATTATTGTATAGAGTTTTAGCAAGTTGCGTTATAGTTTCCTTATTAACAGGGTAAATAAACTTGCCTCCCTAAAAAAGGGATCGTTAAAGCAATGCTCATTATTAAGTAAAGAAAAAAAAAGAGAAGGCTTTATTTGTACTTATATATTGTTATTTCTTTCATCATTTTTATTTATTTATATTTTTATGTTACAATGTGATACAATTACATTAATAAACAATTGTCTTAAAAAAAGTAGTTTTTTTTTCAAAATCAGAAACCAATTTCTAATAATTGTAACTTTAATGATAATTTTGTATTACTTTTTGTTTGTAGGCTTTTTCCTGGCGCTGCTGCTCGATGAATTGCCTAGGATGCATCCCGTTCGCCACATTTTTCCTCAATATCTCGGTAAGTGTTTTCATTGTCTCTAATAATAATCTATTATACTTTTCGGTATGCAACAATAAATTACGTTTACTTTCGTTGCAGATGACGGAATGCTATTTATTTGCATTCGGCTCACGTACGCATCCACGTGATAACGATATTAATTAAAGGTAAGCGCCAAGGGCTATTTATCTAAAACTGCGTACACATTTTCCCATATATATATATTTTCCGAAATAAACGTTATCTCTTATCAAAATCGGGGTCCTTTGCGACAGCCAGGATTTCGTTATTGTTATGCGTATTATTATTACTTTTTTTTTATTGCGATGTTTTCAATTTAATAATCGGCTGGTAAATTTCCTGCGGATTTGCTGTCGGTTTAATAGTTTGTTTATTTTCAACGATCTCTTACGCGGCTTCCCTATACCCACTCAACTTGAATCTCTCCTATGCCCCGTTGCCACATGTCACATATTTTCATCAACCCGGCAGATTTTATCGCCGGTTAATCCGACTACTAATTGCGCGATTGAGATAACCATTTTTTTGTATTCCTTCTGGTACCGTTTTCAATCACATTTTCTGTTTTATTTAATTACTGTTTGAAAGCCGAGTGGCCACCAATCGGGTTTGACAGTTTATAAAAGTTAAGCAATATACTATAGATGACCTTGACTATTTTCCATCCCGCGACCAATGGCATTTGTTACAGTAACAAATTTTAATACAACAAACACTTTAACGGTTAAAAGAACTTTTTCGGTCTGTAAAAAGTTGGATGAGATTCCTCTTAATGATTTTACTGTACAACACCATATGTTTGGTATATCTTGAAATTATCATCCAAATAAGCTTTAATACGTCTATAAAAAAATATTTATTTTTTTTAGGAAATAAACATTATTATTTACTTTTTATACTTGTGTATCAATTTAGACAATAATCACATGCTAATAAATAACATATCTTTTAAAAGTTAAGAAGTATACATGAATAAAGGACTTAATTCCTGATAAAGAGGTAAAACACGTAACAAATAATATGTTATAATATCATTAAAATATAGTTATGACTTGAGTAAATTGAAATAAGTTAATCTGAAGTATTTCGAAAAATCTACAGTTACACAGCATGAAACTGACTAGTTTTATTTTTATTATTAAACGACAAAATGACACATGGTTAACATAACTGGTGGTGACGTCATCTCTATGTTCGAACCCCTTCCCTTCACTTCCAAAACGATCGCAAAGACCAAAAACCGATTACTTATTTCTTGATCAATTACATCAGCATTCCTATTTAAAATCAAATGTTTTATGTAAATAGTGTTATTCTACACTGGCGCCATCTTGGGTATTTTTAAATAAATATGATACATTTGTATACAGGGCACTCGAACAACGGTTTCCTTTATGCGACTATTTATGAAAGTTAAGCAATATGTCACACAGGCAGTATTTTAATACAATTGAAGGTCCTCGATGTTAATAGAAAACTTACCAAATTTAATTAACCCTTTGGGACCTGAATTTTGTAATTTTGTTATTTTTTTTATTTATCATAAAATATTATAAGAACTCTCATACCAATATAGTTGAAATTCGAAATGATATATCTTTGCAATAGTTGGTTTGTTGCTGAAAATAGGTATTCAGTTATAGAATAGATCTCTTTACATGTTACGGTCTCAAAAGCCACCGGAAGGTCCGAAAGGGTCAATAACTAACTACAATAATAGTTTAAAATAAAAATGCGTTAATCTGATTTTTAAAGTTTGACAGATCAATTGAAAATATCATATAATTAGCATTTATTTGATACACAAATTACTTACCTTAAGTGACAAACGAACTACATTTACGTTTATTTTGTTGATATATGCATCTTCGTTCTCATTAACGTACTCGTTATTCACACAGACGTACATTTTTCCGTCGAGCAACAGCCATGTACATATTTCAATTACATATCAGTCAGGACGGTGTTATTAAATATTTAGAACTATTACATCATGTTTTATGTATTACAATACACGAAACATTCAAAACATTATTAATATTTTAACATGAGGACAATTATATAATAAAACTTTTAAAGGTTTATCATTGCAAAAAAGAATTAAAGCAAGCAATTTTGGTGATAAATTTTAATATGCAGTCTGTTTTTAAACTTTTTAATTGAAATAAAATTTAAATTTATTTTTGTTTATGTGAAATAACTAAATAAATTTATAAATCCTATACAATTTGTTTTAATTTCGATTTATATCATTTAAATTTAACAACAAAATCAAAATAAATGGTAATTTGATGGTGCTTTCCCAAACAGGGAATGGTGTTTGGTAGAATACGATTTGCCGATTGTGGCTATTTTTCTTGCATTGCTTCCTCCAGTTTCAGTAATTGTTGATAGTAAACATCTGAATTGACCGTTTGGTTCCTTGGAAGCAGCTCAAATTATACAACACCAAAATGATAGCATGATATTTTTTATGCAATTCAGCTTTGTATAGGGTTTGTTTGTTTATCAATCATTGATCACCACTGATGATTCCTTTAGAAAAGTGACGGTTACATTATGTTTGTGATGGATATTCCCAATTTTCGTTGTGTTAAGTGAATCTTTTTCAATTCATGCTAATATGGAAATACGAGTCAAAGACATTTAAGTGATTTTCAATTGTTGTGTGAGATACATTTTACCTCTCTGTAATCTCCTACACAGTTATATAACGATTTGATTCAATTAAGACTTTAATTTGGTTTTCATAAACTTCAGTTGGTTATCTTTGAATGAAAATATCCAGAACAGACATGTGCATTATGTTTAACAATAAACATCAACATTAACTTCACATATCTCTTTGTGAGTAGGATTTATACAAAAATCGACTTTTAAAAAAACGGTTTTCGAATTGCTACGTTTACGAATTTTCCCAAAAATATAGAGACAATAGGATTTTTACAATTTTTTTCTTTTTATTTAACTTTATCCGAATTAAAAAAAATAAAATCTCACAGAACCAACCTTACATATAACATTTATCTATAATGACAATAAAATATTATTTTAATTCTTATTTTTTTCTCAGAAAATGTGATTTTAAAAAGTCTATAGATCTATTACCCAAACCATGTTCTTGTTAAGATAGAAAATTTGCAGAAATAGACAATATTCTCTCCCTTGCTACGTACACACAAACGTCACATTCATTACTAGTACCATACATTTTTTTTATGTTTTTACAAGATTTCTTCCTACTGGAAAACTGGACGCTCTTTTGCCAAGAGTAGTTGAAGGGGAAATTTGGTTATTATATTTTAGGTCTAGACTTATAAATTTCATCAAAAAAAAAATTGTTGAAAAATTTCGTTATTGCACTCCTGTTAAAATTCACCCTAAACTAAGAGCTGCAAAATTACGCGCAATAAATAAATCCTATACAATTTGTCTTAATCTCGATTAATATGACTATAATTATAAAATGAACATTAAATTTACTTTTTCAAAGCAAAGTAACATTTAATAGCCGATTAATTTTATTTGACTTTATAGTACTTAATTTAACAAGGCCTCATAATAATTTACATCATGTATTGTTTATCTAGTTTTGTACTCATATTCTATTAACAATGTACAATCTAATTAACTAAAATTACAAAACTTTAAAGTATATTCGTCGTTTTGGTTATTTAATTCACAAATAAATTTATAGATACATTAACTGGATAATACACAATTATATATAAATTCATATTTAAGCTAAATTACTTTAAATTATATATAATTTGTAAATTTTTAAATAAAACAATTAATTTTCAATTTTATACCGCGATTTAAAAAGTTAGTTATATCCAGTTGCGGCTGCTATTTAAAATTGTATGTACAAGTATATCCCAGAAGTACCCGACCTAACAAAGAAAACATAACAAAAAATTCTGGCTAAAAGAAAACTACGTTGAGAGCATAAGCAATCATAGTCTTCTTTTATGTGATACACTTTTCCCAGCGATGTTCAATAGCTTCGATACCCTGTTTATAGCGAGAACCGTCAAGCTCAACAAAATAACCATCAACCGCAGACTTCATTGTTGGCAAATCTTTTACAACCGGGCCTTTTTTTAAGTTTGGAAACAGAAAATAATCCGAGGGGCTAAATCGAAAATTGCACGAGGAAGCAATTCGAACTTTAAATCATTGATTTTGGCCATTGCGATAATGGTGTATTGTCTTGATTTTGAGCAAACGCAGCACCCATCTTGCACAGTTTCCACATGGTCAAATTTTCAGTCAATATGCGATGTATAGCACTTTTTGAAATGCCTACTATGTCTGCTAGCTCAAACTTCTTTTTTATAAGCTTGATACTTTTGATCATAGTAGTTTTTTTTCAATCAATAACCACCATTTATACATGAAGTCGAGTACTTCTGGGACTGCACTCATATCGTATCTTTGTTATTAAAAAATGTATGTATACCTGTTCTGTATACATTCTAGAATGATTATAACAAGTTATTAAAATTAAAATGAGGAATCGAAATCTGAAGATGAAAAAAATATGAAACGACATAATTTGAATTTCTATACAGTTTTCGAAGACCTCAGTTTCCGAATAAATGTTGTTATTATTTAAGATTTTATGTATTTTAATATTTTTTTACGATTTATGTAAATATTTAGATAAGCAATGATCTGGGCTTTTGAAACGTATAATTTTCATTTTACAATAGAATGAATTATGTTCGAAAACCGAGG